ACCACAAACTCCAAAAACACAAATTAATTATGCACAAACTCACCACACACATGCATCTCGCAAATAGGGGAGGCCGTCCTTAAATAACCATGTATAGCTGTTGATAGGACTTACATTAAACAATACTAAATCAGACATGAAGTTTATTTTGACACAAAGATCTTATTTATTTGGATAATTTCATGGAAATGATGACTTGTAATTTAAAAAAAAAAAGATTTGTTAATTTCAGCTTGTATGCACTGTATGAATGTTATTTTAATAGCATTGTACCCAAATGAATCCATGATTGTTGTGAAGTGATGCTTTATTTGAATTTAATACATTTGATGCTCTATAACCTGACCGGGAACGCATTCGTAGCCATACCGAGACAATACAATATTAAAATGTCTCCCAATATTAACGGCTTCCAAACCCGTGCTCGAGGTTACAAATAAACGCTATGTTTCAAAAAAACAAATTTTTGTACAGCGGTATCCCGAGGGCTGTTAGGTAGGGACTGTCCCAATCACCTGCCCTCTAGACTGTGTTTTAAGTTTTACTAAGTAAGTTGTTTGAGTGCCAAATTTTGTACAGCATGATTATTTAGCCTCTTTATCTTAATCCTTCCAACGTAGGTATCTTATGATAAAGTTTGTTGTTTGCCTTTACAATGTTACAATGTTTTACCATTTATATATATGTATAAATATTTGTCGAAATACAAGCTCCTGAGAGTTTATGTTAACTATGACGTATATTCAACGTTAAATAAGGATTCTTGTATCTTGATGTCACATGCCACTATGCTTTTATCTGATAGTTTTAAGATAAAAAAGCACACAAGCTTTTAATCACGAACTTTTCCTCGACAATGCGCCTATGTATAATCTTCGGCACGATGAAGGACACAAGTGAAGGTATACTGTTGATGCCGACATGTACAAATTCATGTAAAATGTAAAACGAAAATAGGTCTGCGCGATCACAAACATTTAATGCTGATATGTTCGCATAAATGTCAGTTAGTACTTGATGGATTAAACGAGTGTTACCTTGTGTTGTATTTTAGCACATCAGTGTCTCAATACATACGGTATTAATCTGTTAATGTTCGATAAACGTCTATTTTTTTTTATTACTGTCCTGATTATGTTGTGAGGTATTTCCGGGTCACGTTCTCGTATCAAGTGCGCTTCCGGTAACGTCAAAAAAAGCAATTTTTCAATTCACAAAATCTTGATATTTATAAATTAAAGATAGTTTAAAGAATAAACGAGTTAACAAAAACAATATCAATACATTGTAAATATTATTTTCTTGGATGTTTGCGAAGCAGATGACGTTTGATCATAATCTCGAACCTAGAACGATTTTTCCAAAAAAATGTGTTTTAACATTTGAAAGAAAAAAGTTTGAACGGGAAAAAATATATTTGTTCTTTTATGAATTAATGAAAGTGATACAGAAAAGAAATATAGTAAACAATAGATATTAAATTTATCTAAAACATCATCCTTAGAGAGTATTTTGGGCATGATCGTTTAGAAGCTTGGCAATACTTTAAACTATTTTAAATGCGCATCAGCTCGAGATTAGGTTCTGTTTACAAAATGGCGACTGGAAGTAGCAAGGCGGATTAGATTGGAACTTCAATTGTGTATATTTCGGCATGTAAACATTGTTCAAAAAGCCCGTGTGGTCAGATCATCTTATTTAGTCAGCATGTACCCAGATCAGTCGTTGTTTAGTCGCTACGGTCATTCACATGAAAATTAGGATTAGTATTTAAACTTATTGTAATTATTGTTCCTATCTAACTATTTACAATAAATCGTTACCCATACACATGACTGTTGATTACAAATACACATGTACCGAATAGAGACATGGACTAATTCATTAAACATATGCATATATTCTACGAATCTAACACAAAATATAGAAAAGATTGCCAATAAAAGTAACGTAGAAAGATTTTCGTTGAAAAAATGTATGATGCGCATTTAAACGCTAATCACCAATCCCACATTACACATATCTGGTATTGTGTTAAATTCGCACCTATGTATATCTGGTATCACACTAGATAATTACTCCTGAAATATTCATGTTTCATGTTTCGGTTCAACTGTATGAAATACCCCGGAATATGATGGAAACGATGGTGTTTGTTTCTTGAGGTACGTCCCATTTTATATTTGACTCCCACACAACAGTCCGAGTTTCACTGCGATTATTCCAGTAGATTTTGACTAAATTTGGTCAGGGACAACCTAAGGCTAAGGGTTCTCAATTTTGTATAAACGGTGGGTGTGCCCCCCCCCCCCCCCCCTGAGGGCAGGGGAGTGTAGCCCAATAGGAAAAAGGAGGTAAAACCTTTAAAATCCTTCTTCTAACGTAGGGATAAAGGGATTCTATCCAAATTTGGCCTGGATCATCCTTTGGCCATGGAGACTCAATTTTGTATAAATGGTGAGTGTGGACCCTTTGGGCTTGAGGGGCAGGGATCAAATCCTTCTTTTGTAACATTGGTAGAATTTTATCCAAACTTGGCCTGGAGTATCCTTTAGCAAAGGGGACTAAATTTTATACAAACAGAGGGTGTGGCCTCTCTGGGTGTTGAGAGTTGTGGGGCTCAATAGGGGAATTTAAAGTTTATGTCTTAAAAATCCTTCTGATTCAGTACCATTGGAGGGATTTTTTGTAATGAGAATAATTTCCCATGGTTGCTTTATTATCCAGGTGAGCGATACAGGCCCTCTGGGCCTCTTGTTACATAGAAACTATTGCTTTGTGTTTGGTGCCTATATTTTTTAAACTTAACAGTTTATTTATATACGACCCTAGCTATTAATAGGACGTTGAACAAATTAAAGCCAAACTACAGTTTGTATATGGCTTATATTTATGCTATAATAAAGCAAAATAAACATAACATAAACTGCTAAGTAAGCAAAGATACGTAGCCTCCAATGTCATGCTCGACAGCTATTACGAAAGTTGTTGTAAAGAATTTTAATCACACATATACTGTTGTGAATTTAACATGTACAATACATTTACAGAAAGGGAAATCATACGAGGCGACCTCAATGCGTTATGTTACTCTTTTAATTCACATCCTCATGTAATCTAAGAACTTAATACAAACACAAATTTAATTTAAATGAATAATTATGACAGAATCACTTGAAACATGAACGTGTGATGCGCATATCACTACTCGCAACACCTGTATATGCTTAACCAGGTACATACGCAACATACCTATACCGTATTATTTAATCCGCACTTGTGTGAAGTAAAAAGTAGATATTGAATCGCACTGCGTGATTACTGAAATGTTAATGTTTTAGTAAAAGAGTAAAATACTACCCTGAATATGATAAAATTAATATGAATTTGTTGATGTACTCACCGACTTGTGATATTGTTCTCTTGTGATCATCATTTAAGTTTTTGAGACTTCCACCTGACGTACATGTATATATAGCATTTCGGTGTATTATCAGATCATTCCAAAGTCCAAAGATTGCGTATGATTATCTGTACTTAATCTGGCGATTTGAGCTCTCACTTTGGCGCATTTTTAAAGGCAAATATATCAAACGAGTAAATCTGAAATGTTGAAAGAAGTTTTCAGTCAGAAAAACATCAATAACCGAACATTCCAACAAAAATGTATATTGTGAATTTGAAGATATAAATAATTGCTTGGTTGGTCACATTTTAAACGGACAGTTTATTTTTCAAGGTTAATATTTACGCTATAATATATTTAAATTAACTTAACATATACGACAAGGTTTTAAAAAGTAAATGCTATCTATTATCATTACGAAATTTCTGTAAAAAGATTTTTTTGCGAGTTTGTTGCTGTTCACGGCGAGTTATTCATATTAGATAATTTCAGTGCGTTTAAGTATTCTTCAAACTCATATCCTGACGTTTTGTTACTGGTACCGGGTCCATGTTGCATGATAGAAAAGGCTAGTTAATATCTATTTATATTACTGCATTTTGTATGAAGTATTTGGAATCAAATTGTAAGGATATCGGGCTCCTATTTTTTATCACCATCTACCGTGCAATTAGATTTGTTCTTTAACGATTTTAGACGCATGGTCAAATATGTCCCAGCGTTTAATTTCAAAGAACTTTTTGGTTAACCAATCAAAAGACTGGATAAGAAAAAAATTATTTCAAATACATAAGTACCGATTAGAAGAATTTGACAGAAAAAACTGCCTTGAATCATTACATTTATTATACGAATCTCTTACAAATATTACTAAAACCTCATTGAAGTAAAAAATGTGGAAAGAATAACTTTAAATAATAACATATGATGCGCAGATAAGTTATCGCCTGTCACCGGACACAACTGTATTTTGACATCGGTGCGTTTCTCGTTATATATTTGAAGCATTATCACCTATGTCATCGCGCGCTAAAAAAGGTTGTTTTAGCTCGAAATAGGACGCATTAAAAGCATATATATATCCAAACAAAACATAAACATTTTTTTGAATACCTAAAAAATATTTCTGTTACGGTCAGGAAAATATCGGTGATCCAGCATTAAAATAATAAAGTATTATTCGTAAAAAAACCCCAAAAGATTTGATAATTATCAAAATTGTACTTTATGTCAGTATCTGTTATACAGATGATTTAGCTAGTGTACCTCTCGTCTCTATTCATGCTTTTAGCTTTCCTGATTTTGATTGCTTCCTTTATTTGCCACCTTTTTGTTGTTGTTCCCTTTCAACTATTTTTGGCATGGTCCCAATCGAAGAGGTGATTTTGGGTGTAAGCGTGATCTGTTAATGCCGATATATTGTACTGAGTGGCAGATGCTTTGTGTGTGGTTCTGATAAAATTGGTGTTGCTAATTTTCTCTGCATCCTTTTAATGTTCTTTCAGACGTGAACCAAAGTTCCTCCCATTTGTTTCCTAGATATGACTGCTAACAATTTTTGCACGAAATTTAATATAAAACTCCTATTTTTAGAATGTCAGTCTTGTCTTTGGGATGCACCAGTAACTGTCTGAGTGTTGTCAATGGTCTCATCGGGATGCTGAAATGGTGTATCCTCATCACACGGGCAAACGCCTCAGATGTACGCTTCACGTAGGATATTGTGACCCCGCCTTCCCATTTGGTTTGGCTCTCATTTCTTTTCTTCTGTTCCTGTTTTTTTTATTTCTGTTTTTTATCTTTTCTTTTACTGCCCCGTACACTTTGTAAATTGACCAGCCGGGATAGCCACCACGGTTGAGAGCATCTCTGTTGGTCCTCCAACACTACTCGATATTGTGTTTACGTCCCGGGTCGAGTGACATAAGAAATATACAATTTCGGCACATCGTCATACAGGTAAATATTAAAAATCGCTCACATAGTCATAGCTTGACAAAGAGAACAGTCGGTCATGAAACGTACGACACAATTATTACCTACATTGTTTATGTATAAAGTAAAATTTGATATTATATTTCCAAGCTGATGAATCTTATTGAAGATATTAATAACTTTAGTCTATTGTTAATTACAACCAAGTTGCTCTTTGGTGACAAATGAAAAAATGGTGTCCGCTCATGCAGTTCCAGGATAAAATAAAAACAATTTGTGAAGCCGGTTTCTATTAGAATATCAAAAGGAAAACATTTTGTTTAGTTCTAGTTCTAATGGTTAATGACCACATTCAACAAGGTGAAGATTCTGTAATGGGAGAGAGCATAAAATACACATATAATAACTATTTAGATAAGAGATGAATTGGGGTAGGGGGATATGCAGAAAAGAGTGTACTGACAGACCGTCCGACAGCACTAAATTGAGACATAGCATAGTGTTGGAGAAGGAAGAAAATCTTCAAGTGTTTGGGCAACCCCAACATACGAGATTTACTTAGTCCTCGGCACAAGCTAGGGGAAGATGGAAGAAGAAAGTGGGGAATAGTGGACTGATTAAAAGTTCTAAGCTGCTCTGTTAGATATTTTTAAGAGCATAGTTTTGAAGGATGGCGAGGATTTTGCAAAGGTGTTGTCAATTAAGAGTTCATTCCAGTCTAATATAGTTCGTGAGACTAAAAATTTCTGTATGAACGGAATTTTGGTTGAGATTTCTGATGAGACGAATATAATTTACTAATGAAGTTTTTCTCGCACTGATTTGGCCATGACTGAATTTGTTAAAAGTTTCTAGTCTCATATCTGTTTGAATGTCTTCCAGTGATGCCAGTCTAGTTGTTTAAGCATTTCCCCTTCACCTGACCTGTTCCAGTATATATTTGTAACAACTTGGGCTACCCTACGCTGTACCATTTCAATTTTGATTTGTCATCATAAATGTGAGGTCCCAATTTGTACAGCCATACTCCAATAATGGTCTAACGTTGGTGTTGTACGCCTGCTGATTTAGTGCGGTTGAGCCTATTTTTAGATTTATCCGCTAGAAGCCTATGTAGAATTAACTTTACCACATTATTTTTAATGAGTGTCCGATTTCAGACTTAAATGGATGGTGATTGCTATACATTTTGATTTTGGGACATGTTGTAATTTTTCCATGCAGGGTATATGGAATTGCTTTACATTTTCGTTATGGATATTACACTACATTTGTAGTGTGAAAAGCTATTTTCCTTGATATTTACCATAAAGCTAAATCTGGGTCCTCCTGTTTCCCCCTCATCAGCCTCGTCAATCAGAGTTTGAAAAACAAGAGTATTATTAGTGAGAAGTCTCACAGCAAAAGTTAGGCCAATTGGAACTTTATTGAAGTAGAAAACAAATAAACAAGGTATAATACCCGACCCTCGGGGGACTCTAGATTTGACAGTCAGGGCCTCCGATTTCTTTCCCTCATCAACGACTGCCCGTTTTCTGTCACGGAGTGGATCTTCACGCCAACTATTTACAGATTCACTTATACCATGATAGCTGAGCTTGTCGTGAAGAAGGGAATGATTAAACTTATCAAAAGTTTAAAAAAATTCAACAACCAGTACATCTCTGTTTCCCTTGTCTATTCTAGAAGTAACATCAACGATACATTTGATTGATTGACTTTCACAGGGACGAAATCAATGTCGCAGAGGCTACAGAATATTTAGCATATCAGCAAAATTCATGGTGTGACTGGGTTAGAAAATAATGATTTCAAATACACAAGTACCGAATAGAAGAATTGTACAGAAGCAAATGCTTTGAATCGATACATTTATTTTACGAATCTCTTACAGGAATAAGTAAAACATCATTGAAGTAAAAAATTTGGAACGAATCTCTTTAAACAATAATGTGTGGTGTGTAATTAGGTTATCGCCACACTGTATACACTAATCAAACGTACACACGTTACAGGTAATAACATATATCGTGCTACATTCGAACAATATATTTTCTACAGAGTGTCCAGATGTTAGTTAGAGTAAGAAATTACAAGAAACAAGATAAAAATGATGGCATTAATTTTCTTAATTACATAATCTTGGCCAGCTAGTATTCTCCGTCCTAACAATCGAAATTCGCCTGTCACCTGACACGTCCATATTTTGACCTCGGATTGTTTCTCGTTATATATTTGCAGCGTTATAAGCTATGTCATCGCACGCTAAATAAACTTGTTTTAGCTCGAAATAGGACACAGTAAAAGCAAATATACCAAAGAAAACATACTTTTTGTTTCCTGAATAACTAAACAATATTTCTGTTACGGTCAGGAAAATATCAGTGATCAACATCAAAATGAAAACTTATTATTTCGTAATCGTTTTTTTTAGATAAACATTAAAGTTTTACTTGATACACAAACAATGTACGTATGAAACGTGTCGTAACGTTTCAAGAGCGACTGGTCCCTTTGTCAAGCTATTACTGAGTGTGCTATTTGTATTGTTTACCTGTACAACGATGTCACGAACTTGTTTATTTCCTATGTCGCTCACCCGGGACGTTTATCCTATCGATACAAAGCGTATGATTTTATGCCTGTTAGGTAGAAAGGAGATACATGTGCATATTTCCAGTCAAGTGGGATTTAAACAGCGGAAAGATATTTGTTTTAATATTCAAGTTTCAAGTTTTTCAAAATATAAGAGTACGATTTGGTGATATTTCTTCCGCCAGTTCTTTAATATTTCTCGTTTCATTTCATCTGTTCCAGCAGCGTTACTAGGTTAAGGTTTTTGAGCAGTTTTCTAACACTGTTGTTTGTTATATCAAAGGGAGGTATGATACTGAGCTGTGTATGGACAAGTTTGTATACAAAAGCTTAAAGAAATGAATTGGCACATTAAATGGTCTGAAGAATTAAACATCAAGTTATTTGCAAATATTTACAGTTTCAAGTGTAATAGACTCAATAACCTTTGTTGAGGTCATGATCATTATCACTCCATAACGACAGTCATTCTCGTGCGCGTAGTGATACATACACCGTGTACATATGTGTAACACTTACGTCAACAACCCGGGGGTTTCCATTGCTATTTTCGGAAGTAAACAGAAGTACTGGGGAAACCAGATTTGTACAACTCATTTGTGTAAGATACATTGTTGAAATTTATACATTCCGATGACGTCACGTTGTTTACAGCGCCCCATGATTAGTGCACCGATTAGTGCACCGACTGACAAGACGGCTGGATTTTGTGTTTTTCTTCTTCTACGTGTTCGTGTTCAAATACATAATTTACTTTAATGACATAGTGTAAACAATACCTAGAAATACGATAGTAAATTTAATTTTGACAATAACGTTCGATATACGGCAATTTTGCCGTAATGTTTTCAACTACACTCGATAAGGCTGGTAATAATGGTAGCCACATTACAGGACGGGTTCGATAACTTTCGTGACCTACATGTCATATGCCTGCCTAAATACTGATAGCTAGATCACAGCACTCGAACTGGGTTTTGAAATGATTGGAGTTAAAATCAAAATTATAAAATTACAGAGGAGAGTTCCAAAATTGCGAGCCGTTGGTGACATATCATAGCGTTCCTGAATTATTTTTCTTTTCAAAAAAGAAACATGACTATTCTGTTGACAAGGGGCAAAGTCAATTTTGCTTTCCAACAGACAGTAGTGCAGTGAATAATTTGTGAGTCTTTTTAGGTCCATCACAACATATTAGAACAAAAATGCATTATTTTTGATGAACTCCTAATTCGCATAAGTATGGTCCTTTGAATGTAAACATGGTGTATATATTTTGCCTGAGTTACAGCCCTAGCGATGAGATCACAAATAAGTCATCTATGAATATATAAGCAAATTACATGCAGGTTTTGCCAGTCATGTAAATCAGATACTTGCATATTTAATATATTGATGTAACCTAGCTATTACATGTATTTTACATTTCAGGTAACATACAACTACAAAATAAAGCTAGAAAAGATTAGTGGAGATCCAGTTAATACACATTGTGAATGCCCTGCTGGCAAAGGACCTCATGGTACATGTAAGCATGATGCAGCAGTCCTGCTGATGATTGAGCATTTTACTGATAGTGGAACAATGAAGGTGCAGAAAAGTTGCACTGAAAATTTACAAAATTTTCACAAACCAAAGTTTCTCTATGATGGTGAGTTGATCTTAACCATGCCAATATTTTAATTTAAGCATATGATGAAAATAGAAAACATAGTAATGTGAATGTAAGAGAAGCTGAAAAAAAAATCAATGTTGTTCTCAATGATCAGTTCATAATTCAATTATAAATATAATCTTTTGATGTAATTCAAATTGTAAATGTACACAAATTGTTTAAGAATGTTCTGACAGAATCCTACCAGTCATAAATAATATCATTTTAGTCCAAATCACTTTTACTGTTTGCCGTCTAAATACTCTACATGTATTTCCTTTAGGAAAACCAATAGCAACAGAAAATATTCCAACTAAACGGAAATTTTCTGATGACATTCTGCAAGACCCAAGGCCACATAAATATAGAAATAACCATGGGTACACAGACTTTGTCAGGAACATGATGATAAACTATTGTGCCAGTAGTTCTCAGGATATTGCCATGAGATATCTGCATCCCTCAGCTGATATTCAGGTACTTCAGATGGTCACAAAATTAACTTCAGTTTTTAATCTTTTAAGGAAAAATATCCCTGTTGAACAAATTCAGCCACTAAGCATTTTCTGTTCTACGATGTGTAAATTTATTGATTTTTCTACTGCTATAAGGTTGTATTCGATAATTAATCTCATTAAAAAGTTACACCAAAAATCTCTGATGAAAACTTTTCAGAAAATATTTTTTTATGAAACAAATGTTTGTTTTACAGGCTGCAGCACTAGACCATGACTATTTCCCACTACCTTTCACTGAATATCTTGTTGACAACGCCTTACAGGTAATTTCTGATTGGGTAGTGAACTTCAGGTGCATGCTGTTTTTAAATAACATAATTATATAGTAAAATTGTTAATTCTAATATTCCGACTTTGAGCATGAATATTTCACTCTTAAAAAAAGTTATAAAGCATTTTCACTATGAAAAAAAAGCAAGGGTCACTAGCCACATCATATAAATTAGGTCAAATGTCAAGGTCATTGGTGAAAGTAATAGTTAGTAACTTATCTCCTGTAATTTGATACTGTACAGAAGTAAAATGGAAACATATTTAAACATGTCTGTGTAACATGACTATTCTGTTGACAAGGGGCAAAGTCAATTTTGCTTTCCAACAGACAGTAGTGCAGTGAATAATTTGTGAGTCTTTTTAGGTCCATCACAACATATTAGAACAAAATTACAAACAAAGGATGTCAGTTCTGTATAAAGTATGGACTAAAGCTTACAACTATGTCAAGTTAGTTTTAAACTGTAAAATTCTAATAGTCAGCTAATATGTATTTTAACAAAAGATTGAATTTGATGAAGAATATGCTAAATCGAGCTTGTTGCAAAAACTTCAATTGTTTTACACAAAATATTATAGGCCTTATAGTGCATCCCATATGTAAACAAAACCTAGATCCTGGATCAAAATTTCTGAATTTGGTACTACATGTACATGTACTGAAAACCAATATTTTTGAAAACTTCACTTTTTTTTACAGCACATATTGACATAATGCGTGTATATATACATTTTGATGATAACCTTTGCAAAAAGTTTAGGCAAATCTGTCAACAATGCATGGCCTAAAATTTAAGAGAGAAAAGCATATGTATATAATTCTTGATCCAAGTTTCAGTTTACTGGCTGGAAGAGGAGTACTTAATATTTTGTAACGTTTGCCGAGACCAATTACTCTCTCAATATGTATTCTTTTAGATGCAATTCTGCGATCTTTGACTACATCTTGGGGTTCAAGTTGAGATTTTCCACGTAACATAGAAGGAGTATTTACAAAAACATCTTGAGTTGCAAATAGATCTTGCACCATAATACCTCTATCAGCCATAATACTATCTCCCTTATCAAACATGTCACGTTTCGGATCCAGTAGTTCAGAGTTTTCCATTATCTGACGATCACTTGTTGATCCGCCATAAGCTGGACTTACATAGGAAACTGCACCCCTAGGCGTACAACCAATCATAGTTTTTACAGTATTTTTGTGCTTATAACTGGACCAGGTGCAGCTTTGTGCATTGACATTGGATGGCTTGTGAATCGGGACCTCGGTAGCATCTAAAATGACTCGTGTGTTTTTGAATTTCTTACCAAAGTCTTGCGGCATATGGTCAGAAACAGTACTACGGGAGGGCCAAATAGATAATTCTTTCAACTGAAAGTACATAAAGTTAATCCACGTAACAATGATTTTTGATACACTGGATTCACTGATTTCAAACATCATGCTTAGCTCAAAGTCTTCCTTTGCCTGCCTAAGCTTCATCATTGTCAAAAAGAATTGGTCATGAGGTGATAAGGAAGTGAACTGATGAATGAGATCAGTTGCTGCTGGCCCTAAACAGTTGAAAAAGAACATAAAGTGGTTGAAATCAGTGAATCCAGTGTAATAATTGATAGCTTTGGGGTTATCCCTGAAGTTGTCTATTGTACATCTCCCCAAGATTGTACACTGTGTTCCCTCCGCTTGAGGTTCCAAATCTTCTGGTTCTGGTACCAGTTCAGCCGACTCATGGTGTGTTGACACAGTGACCTCAGATCCTAGCTGTCCATTGTAGGCTTCAAGTATGGTGCCCTGTGTAGCATCATCTGGTTGTTTTGGCTCTCTTTTTCTTCTGGGGCTAGGGGTCTGTGTCCACTGGAAGATGGACGGCACTACATTTTCTTTAAGTCTGCCACGTTCACCTGAAATCATGTTTCTTGACATGAGAATGTGCGCAATATTTGGTGCAAAATATATAATTGGGAACTCAACTGCCATGTAACAGATTGTGATGTCAATGAAGTTCTACTGTTCGTAAATTTATACCTAATCGAAACTAAAATGTGTTTTTTTCATCAGCATTCCTTTATACTGAAGATTCTGCTATCTAAAATCGAAATTACAATCATAAATGTTAAATGGATGTAATTTAATCATAAGATGGTGTACAACACGTTACCTAGTACATGTAATTACAATTATAAATGCAATCTTGGATTTTAATTTTAATTTTAATTTTAATCCTATTCTAAATTACTTGGTATATATGTCAAAATCAAATTGTAAAACCAATGACAAGCCATTCTATATTTGAACAACTAACTACATCAAACCAATCAGGAAATCACGTGTGCATCAGCATCCAGCCATTGTCCTATGTGAAGATGTCAAATTGCATGGGATGATTCAACATCGTCCAATCAACACATGAAGAAAAATTTGAGAAAAACCACAAAGCAACACGAAAAAATACAACTTCAAATACAGTTTTCTTAACTCTTTGAACTTCTCACTTAGAAATTTACAGCTGTCAAGACTTCTAGATATTGTGTCCCTTTGAACACATGTATACTGGTATTTTCAATTTTATAATTGTTTTCGCACTGAAATTAATGTGATATACTGTATTGTCATTTTATAAGCTTTTGAACAGTCCTGAATATGTATATATATATATTGTAAATATACATGTAATATATGAAATTGACAAATTTTCATTTTTTTTAAATTAAGACAATTTGCATATAATGAGTGAAATGTTCATAGTTAATATGTGCAATAAATAACAATTGATACAGAATCTTAGTTTTTTTTATTTCTTATCAAATTTTGGAATGGAAATTTAGGTTTTCACAATGTTTTAGCCAAAATTACATGTAATCGTGTTAAATGAATCCAGCAAAAGGTCAACATGTTTATTAATTCTCAAAAGGAAACAAAAATAACTAAGATTGTTTGTATCAGGAGACAAAATAAATGAAAAAAAAGTTTTCATACAATATTACCATATTCGCCATAATTACCATCCCTTCCCTTATAAATGCCACTGTCATTGTTAAGCACTTCTTAAATTATCCAGAGTTTGGCACTTTATACACTAGCCCTCTAGTCAGAGACTAGTCTAGTATATTTCAGGAAGGACTATTGATAACTGGTCCTTTGGTAGTGAGTCAGTTAATATTAACCAGTCTATTGCATTATTTCAAATTATGTTATAGCAATATAACTTAATAAAAAGATTATGAAAAAATATATTGTTTTGAAAAATTTCTTAAAATACAGATTGATTGATCAGTGGTTGTCATGATTTTTAAAATCTTTGACATCAACATATTTTTATGACTAGTTATTGTATGTCCCTGTAGTCAAATTTTTATTTGCTCTCTGGAAAATAATTATGGCAAATATGATGTGCAACATTTTGGTAAAAAACAAATGATTAAAAAATAGACAAGTTTTTTAAAACCTTATATTTACGATTTTTTCAACAGATGTCAGTGGACATTTAAACATTCAGTCGATACCACTTAAAACAAAAGTTGACTAATTCTGATGTGGAACGTTTGCAAAAAACATTTATTCTGGTGAACTGTTCTTTACACGTAATCTAAATATATTCTCAAAACTCCTACACATGGTTGTCTACTATTCCACTCCAACGGGAGAAAATGTCATGACACAGTTCTATACTAACCTAACAGTGTCTCTTTATAGTCGATGTCCCGGAAATGCAACCTGCAGACAACATCTTCGGGACTGGGTTTCCATAACTTTCTGCCTTTCTCCTCCATCCTCTTTACAGCGACACGCCATTTCATACAAAACGATTCGTTTTTCGGAAATCGATGCCCCCCTGACCCACTACATAAAGGTACACAACAATATTGTGGCATTCTGTTTTCTTAGTTTGTTGACGATCGTCAAGGAATGTATAGCGAGCGCTCCTCCACACAGGAGAGTTACAACCTATAGTACACGCGCGCCCTCTGTTGGGATAAAATGTGAAGGCGGAAACCAATACAAGCCCTCTCCCTTGGGTTACATACATTTCAAACAATAACAGAATTATAAATTAGACATTAACATATCAGCACTGACTTGGAACATTAAACAGTACTTTTTTAATAAATATTCATAGTTCAAATAGATGGCTACTAAAATACACACTAATAGTTATGATATGTACACACATATATATATATATAAACATATACACACATATGAATAAGCCAGGTCAACATGCATATGCTTACGATGAAAGTAAAATATCAACATTTAACAAATATACAAGAAACAGCATTTTAATTACTTAATAGCAGAACAAATAGCCAATATTTTCAGTATAAGTTAAGTTCAAACATTTTATTAACCAGTTCCCAACACCACTCCCACTCCGGATATCAATAATAACTGGGCAGCACTAAAATGTCCATTGTAAAACCACTGTTTGCTTACCCAGTCATTGAAGATCCAGAGCAGGAGCCATGCTGAGGGAATAAACATATGCATATGTAACAATGATATATCATGCTGGTAGTATTTTATGTGGTCATGTTTTGTAATATTTAGTCATTTATCAGTTAGTATATATATGATATGGAGACATAGATAATTTGCAATATATGTATGTACGTATGATTATGGCATGCACACAAAGCCATTACCATATATATAGTTTAATAACAAAATGGTATATCTTCTATGTATAACGTCAAACCAGATATCATTTTATATTTTGAGCATTTTAGATAAAGTGTGCTAGTTTTGAAGGGTGTGCGCACAAGTATATTACAAATATTTTTCGTTTACATCTGTACTTTACATATGTTTGGTTCCAACTTGGAGATATGGCCTAAGGTGGATTGTGGATAAGACAATCAACTAAACATTGGTTCCACATCGTTACACTCGCCGGACTGCCTACAACATTGTTGCGCCAGCAAGCACGTAGGGGTCGGAGTGACAACATTTATGGGTCAGAAAGCTGGTATGATGCTGCGGCTACAGCCTATGTCATTCCTCGTCATCAACAGATGGTAGCGGGCGGAAAACCGGTAACCAGGGATGTTCAACTTTCCATGTGTTGACGTCATTAAAGACATATATTGTTTTCCCATGTGGACCAGACTGGAACAGACATTCAGTGCAATACGTCGGGGAGATACAGCATCGCGGAAAGGCCATGAAATTTATATATATATATAGATGTCTTGTAGTGTCATTGTATATATTCACCAGTATGAATAAGTGAATGAGGTGTTTGTATAATCATATGTATGTGTATAGTGTATTACTGTGTAATTTAACTGTATATACAGCTGTATGTATATTCCTTGTCTGTTGAGTTACACCACTGTTCTCCCGCAGAGATCTCCAAACATATATTTAACATGGAAATCAATTGACAAAGATGGTTCAAGTCCTCCAATGCGAATCTGCAAAGGGCAATACTAGACCAAGGAAATGAACAAGTCGATATATTCCATAGACCGGCTTGTACGTTTCATTTTGTTTAATGTTTTATTAACAGTTAAAGTCATTTATGTTCGTGTCTCCATGTGTGTAATACATGCGTGCATGTGTGAAATGAGAGTTGGATGCGGCATATTAGTGCATTTGCCTCTGCTCAACAGCTAGGATCTGACGCCGACTTTAGAGTGTTACCGCCCTGAATTACCATACCGAAGACACCCTGCACAGTACTCCACCCGGTCACATTATACAGACAATGAGTAAACCTGTTGCTATTTCCCGAAAAGCTGAAGGTTATGAATGGAATGGTTTGTCTCGGCCTGGGAACATAATTCATTGCCTTCCTTACTGGGGCAAACGTTCAACACTAAGGCCATAAGTGATATTTTTGCCAAGCAAGAGGTCAGGAAGCAACACTAGGCTTTGTAGGAAGTAGAGGGATACGTAAATATCCCAAATGTTACAATAGGTGCAACAGAATGGTTTTAGTCACTTTTGTGATTCCAATAATAAGGCGCGAAAGCGAATCCTTGATTCCTGCATTAGTTGCCTCTTACCACATGCAGTGGGTAACAGCTGATTCTGTTCTCTATACCCGACGTTCAGTGGGTAACAGCTGATTCTACTCTCTATACCCGACGTTTAGGGGTATGATGTTGATGAACTTATTATTTTACATGATGGCGTGCCATAAGCGCTAAGGGAGACATCGTCCGCACATGTAAGCGAGACACACGCCGTCCATCATATAAGGTTACCGACGTTGGAACTGCGTATATCTCTCTCGGAAGTCTGTTGATAACTATTTTGTATAGTTCCGTGGTTATAACTCCTCCCTGGCGTACTGGTTGCGCAACGTATACTGCTCCTGAGTTTTTGTTAATGATGTCATTTATTAGGTCACCTGACGAAGTCTCAAGTGACCAATCAGATCGCCCTTTGTCCGTCGTCGTCCGTCGCACGTCGTGCGTCCGGAAACAATTTACATTTTCGACTTCTTCTCAGAAACCGTTGATATGATTACAATAAATTATATGGTTCCCACCCCAGGGGCTCTGAGGGGCGGGGCTAAAAATGGTCAGATTGGATTAAACTTAAAAAAAATCTTCTTCTCCAGACCCAGATATGCTGGAAACCAATACTCTTCATAGGTGGAAGGGTCTTTAGGAACTTTATCAAAATTGTGAATTTTATGACTCCCAGACTTCATGTTTGCCTCTTGTGAGGGGACGAAGTTTACTATAGTTTATAGAGGAAAATGATACTTTTGGTTATGTTTGGTTCATTTTCAATTGGAAATTATTCAAACTTTAAATTGGCTTATATTAAAAAATCTTATCCAGACCAAGACATGCTAGAAACAGGTAATCGACATAGATGAAAGGGTCTTAAAGCGCTTTATTCCCTGGGGATGGGGTAAAGTTTACTATAGTTATATAGAAAAATGATACTTTTAGGAA